CCACCAATACATTGATTTAACCACCAATACATTGATTTAACCACCAATAGATTGGATTTACTAATTAGTTTGTTGGATTTAAACTATAAAATGTTGGATTCAACCACTAAGATACTGGATCTAACAATATATATGTTTGATGTAATTATCAGTGCAATAGTTTTTACTACGAATAAGTTTGTTTTTATCATCAAAGTGTTTATTTTAACCATCGATATGTTCATTTTAAACACCAATACTTTGGTTTTAACCTCACATGCATCAAATTTAAACACCAATAAGTTGAATTTTTCACCATTACCTTGTATTTACCAACCGTTGCACAACATTTAAATGTCGTTACTCTTGTTTTAACCACAATACGGTGGTTTTAAACCATCAGCGGGAGTACTTTAATCACGGATACGTTGAATTTGACCATAAATATGTCAAGACGTTGGTTTTAATGATCGATACTTCTGTTTTTAAATTGGTAATTAAGAATCTACACAAAACAAAATGCAGAAACTGGATGAAGGTGGATGGATGGACTTTACAGATAATGTGCTGTTTTTTGTATTTCCAAACCATTTAATTCACATTAAACGTTTGTTCCTAAATCTTAAACATGGAAAAAATATCCACAGAAAATTCTTCCAATGTTCAGTCTGGAAACTGAAGACGGTTTCATCAAGTTTTAAGTGTAAAAGTGCACCAGTCCTAACAAAAGGTTGGATAAAATATCCTGAAAACTTGAAATAATTAAATTCTTTAACGCTGGTCGTGTTTCGTGTCAAATTGAGTACAAGTACAGTAATCGTGGTGACATTTGAAGTGACATTTTACTGACATTTTAATGATCACACGGCTCTAAATTGGCTCCCAGGAGGACTTTTATTGTGAAAAATCAGACTTGATGTTTGTGAAATGTCGTGATTTAACCGTGTCGTGTTTTTCCACAGCGTCCGTCACCGACGTCCGAGGGAGACGGAACTGCCTTCGACTCAAAGTCTTCGTCAGACCGCAGAGTGAGCCACGTTTGTGTTTGTTCTGCTGAGATCAGACACGACCTCTGACCCCGTCTAATCGTCCAATCTGCTCTTTGTTTTCCAAAGACAATTGTGTGAAAAGCTCGGGGGGCGCGCAGGAAGGCGTCGAGTTTGACGAACACAGCAACAACTCCATCGAACCCAGAGGTGGGTGACGTTTTACGCTTGAAAACTTTGTCTTTTGGAGAATATTCAGTCTGAACAGATTGTTTTTGGTTCAAACGTCCCCAAAACAAAATCTTCTCATACATCTTTTATGAATCTATTAAAAAAATGTTTTAATTTGAAGAATCCCTTAAAATCACAACTATTAATGTCTCACGACTAAATGCTCAGTTTGTCTAAAGCCCACATACATTTTATTTATACATTTATCCCTGTTCACATCTAATCATCAGCTCTATTACCTAAAATATGATCTGATGAACAGATTTTTATTATTTGATAAAACAAAACATGTCAGGAGTTATGATTATCATTATCCATTTGTCAATAATAACAAGTAAATAAATCTACGGACATAAAAAAAAAAGCTACATTTAACAAATAAATACTTGTTAAATTAGTAATTAGTCAACACATTATTCAATACAACACGTGATTTGAATTTTTTGTTCATTAAATGTCATGGTTTCACTATTTAAGTTTTTTTTTTCACCTTATTTGTCTTTTAGCCCCGCCCATCAGTTTGTAGGCGGGGCTAGCTAATAAGATTTTGAAACATGGCAACTGTTTTAATGAGCTAGTAGAATTTCTAAATGAATACGCTGAGACAATCAAGCAGACTGTATGGAAGACGATCAGTGCCACAGATTTAAAAAAAAAAAAAATCAGAAGTCTGATTTATTTATTTATTTTTTTACTGTGGCACTGATCGTCTTCCATACAGGCACAAACGACAATAAGAAATTGGTGTGGGAGCAACTAAAAGCAAATTCAGACAGTTTGTTTCAATAAACACTAAAAGTTTAAATTATTTTATATCAGCCTCGCGTACAGAAACCATAAAATAAACATTAAACCTGTTTTACCTTTAACTATTGACCACATTCAAACAACTGACTTTATATTTAATACATTATTTATGTTTTTCACTTTTGATTTAATTAAATTTTGCCCCATTGGAGTAAATGTTTGTTTATTGGATCTGTTTCTGGTTTGAATAATTTCTGTAATTATAATAAAATAATTATTAAATTAAGGATTGAATTGTGGCGCTTGCAGCCCTCCATACACACCTGTTCAACATCGATTAATTACCAAATGATTCAGATATTTATCATTCCTCTAATTATGGGTTTAATTTAGGAAATAATTAAATGTTTTTAAGATCTAACTGACTTTTTTTTTTAATCTGACGGAATAAATAAAAGAAAAATAAAGTTATTTTGTTGCATGTTTGCAAATATTTTCAGCAAAAGACAATAAATCTTGTTGGCCTTGGTGTTCAGATTATATTGTTTGTTAAATAATGAGACAAATATATTGTTGTTAGACGGTAAACAAAAGGAACAAGCAGTTTTTGTTTGTTTATTTTCTGTTTGTTTCCGTCTCAGATGGAATCGGTCACGAGTCTCCAGAACCGTCCAGGAGAGACGTGAACTCGGCCGCCCGGCGCCGGATTTCCGTCCTGACGCTCAGCTCCGCCCTCATGCTCCTGGCGGCCATCTTGTCGTTATAGCGACCATCGAGTTCCCCCGCAGGAACGGACCGTCCTGATTGGACCACATGTTGCTTCAACCCTGAAGGAGCACTTTTTTAAAAAAAATCAACCAAACACTCCGACGAACGGTTCTGAGCAGATCGGACTTCGGCAGCGAAGCCTTTGTTGTCTTTTTTTTTTTTTTTACACCAGTTTGATGCGAGGCCCGTGGGACGGTTTGTTCCCCGCTCGCCTCAGACGTTACGCTTGTTTTTGATGAAGAGGATTTTTTTAATTTTTACTAATTTACTCACGACGATCGCAGCGTGAACGCTCGTTAGCTTGATTAGCTCAGCTCCGGTAAAAAAAAAAAAAAACTTTACTAACTGGCCTTCGAGGAAACGCCACAAATCGCTCGGAGGACCTGGCGGCGACTCGTTAAAAACCGAGGAGGAACAGGAAGTGGTCCGCCGCTGCGAGCACGAGGCTGTGGCGACTTCCTCTCAGGTCAAACAGGAAGTGACATCACAGAGTTACGGACGGAGAGTCGGCGGCGCTCAGACTTCAGGGTTTGGACGTTTTAAGACATTAATACTTTTGACTTTTCTTTAATGGTAATTGTTGCAGCCATCACGGTGTACAGTAAAATATTTGAACGGAAAATGTTCGTTTTCTTATTTATTGTGACGTCTTTGTGCTTTTTTCCTGCTTTAGTCTGAACGCACGAGAGAACGGCAGTGAACCATCACAGCTCGTTGCTCACATTTTATAACGTTTTTCTCTTTGAGTCCAGAAAAAAGGAAACGGAGTTCTGGTGTTTGTCACAAACGTAGTTTTGCTGTTTCACTGATGGATTCTGTGATTTTTAAACACTTCTGTAAATACGGTGCGCGTTCAGGGACGTCGACGCTTAACGCACGATGGACGAATGTTTTTATTTTATTTTGAGAGAAAGTCCTGTTTTAATAAAGTCAGTCTGTGGAAGAGCGGCTGTTAGACGTGCACGTTGGCTCGCCGGGGTCACTTTCTCTGTTTGATGTTGTGTGAAGTGGCGTCTGGACCCAAAATACTCCGGGGGGGGGGAGGATCCGGACACCTCGGTTATTTCTGGAATGAAAAACTGACCGCCGGGGGAGGAGGACTCGAGCTGGACCTCTGCAAACGGAGACCAGAAGAAAAACACGAAGTGCACGTTTTGTTTTACTGTTGACCTTTAAAGACCCAAAACTTTCTGCTTCAGCTGCAAACTGCAGCGCTCAAGCCACCGAAGGTTGAAAATCATATTTTAACTGTAATAATGAGAAAATAATCAATACAAAAACTAAAACGGCCTCAAAAGTTTATTTTTATTTCAATAAATAATTCATACTTTAAAAAAAATTAGAATATTTTGTGCAAACATGTAATTTACCAAAACTATGATTGAAAAAATTCATATCTTTTAGGCGTGGAGTTCTGTGGAAATGTTATGAAGAGTCAATATCTTACCTGTTGTAGATGGCTTCTTTAATGACTCAGTTTGGAGAAACCGTTTTATTCTGACTGGATTCACGAGCTCATTGTAGTCCATGTGGGACCAGGACCAAATTGGATCTCTGTTGACTTTAATCAACTAGTCTAGTCAAAAACTGGGTCGCCACGTCATAATCCAAAATGGCTGCCACCATAAAAATTCATCCTTGAACAAGATAACTTAAAAAAATAAGTGATAAGTTCCATTTTGATGTGGTTATATCTAGGGGTAATAAAGGTCACTATAGAAAATTAGGGTTTTGCGTCAAAATGCAAGATTGCTGTTGCCAAATACATATACATATATATATATATATATATATGAAGAAACTACTCTAGTTTTTATATCACCTAAAAGTGTAGTTCCTCCAATGATTGGGGTGGTCCTTCTGGTGGTAGATTAACCATGGGGGTCAAGGCCACCATTGGCCACCCCCTGGCTCCTCCACTGCACCTGGTGGTGGATAAAATGTCTCCCTTCGCTCGTCAGGATCCGTCACTCTGTCGCCTCGGACAACAAAAAAAAAAAAAACCTGCCTCTTCTCCACAGTAACTCCTCCCCGCCTGAATATTTAGCATGAAAAACATTTAGGTTTACTTCATTCTCTGTTCAATTCCAGTCCAGAAAAACACTCATGTAAATAACTTCAAACATTCAGTGACGGGGACGTCTGCCGTAACCGGTTGTTAGAGCCGGTAGTGACGCCAAGTTGTAACCCGACGGTGCTTTTCCAGTCGGGTTACTTCTTTTGACACAACACCGACGATTCACCTCTTGGGGGGAAAAACATTTAATAAAAAAAGGAGGAAGAACACGGAGCGCCCCAGCGTCGCTGCTGGATGGTTTTAATATTTGACGCGTTGGCTGCTTGCATGACGATTCACAATACGAATAAAATAAAAATAACAAATTAGAAGAATGTTTTGGCCTAAAATGCCTTCCCATCACCATCAGTTTCCTCTTAACACGAGTAACTTTTAAAAAATGGTTGTTTGTTTTACGGAAGCAGCTAGCTCTAGCACTTCCTGTACGGCTGAGGGCACTTCCTGCAGGAACACCCATTTAATTTGGAATTGAAAGCAGAGAAAGTTTTTATAAAACTGAGTTTAGTCGTTTTAAAACGGCAGCAGTTGGTCCCGTCTGACTAGCCATTAGCTCATCACTGGCTAAACTTTTCTCCAGCCCCGCGTCAAAAGATCTGAACTATCCCTTTAACACATTTCATAGATGATTCAGAAACACATTAAACAAAATATCCATTTAAGTTTGTAACTGGAAAAAACGTTTGGATGAAAAGTAAAACGAGTCATAACTTTTATTAGAATACATGATAATGTTCCGTATAATTATACGATATAAAAATAGATTCTAAAAAATATGAATATTATTAAAGTTTAATTTTAAAATATTTTAAAAAATTCAAATAAAATTTATGTCTACTTTGAAAAATGTACTTTTTTTTTTTTTAAACAAAACCTTATACTTAAAAAAAAAAAAAACTTTCAGAAGAATATATTTGTCTGTTGGAAGTGGATGTTTTATCATCAGTCAGTATCTTACCTGCAGTCGACAGCAGTTTTGCATTTTAGATCAAACTTTTATTTTTCGTCCTTACACTTTTAAATTAATTTATCTCCATTTCTCCAGATTTGATGATTTTGCCTCCATCTACTGCAGGTAAGACACTGACTCCACGCTGCTCTACCTTTAGACAGAAAATAACGTTTAGTTTGTGGCTGTAAAACTTTATTTATCTCAAAGCTAACTCTTGGTCAAAATGTTCATCTTATTTTTTAAAAAATGTTAAAAGGAAAACTGAAACGTTTTGTTGACGTCGGGCGTTTTCGTCTCTTCGCATGTTTATACGTAGAAATAACGAATAGTGTTCTGGATACCGTGTATCCGAGCGGCTAGCCTGTTGGAGCGAACACAAGTTTTTAACGCGTTCACGTTCTTATGAGACGTTTGATACAAAACCGACGATCCTTTTCTACGTCTTTTCTACAAACGAAGGAAAACGTGAATCCTGCGATCGCGGAACATTTCTGTTAAAAACCTGCGCCCTCGTTTCCGTCGTTTTTTAATCGTCTCTCTGGCTCAGGATGTTCCGTGTTTTGGGGTTTGTTTGTTCTTTGGAGCGTTTCGACGCGAGCGGAGTTTGTTTCCCGCGTCGGATTTTCATGTTTCAGGTGTTGGGTGAGGAAAAAGTCTCCGCAGCATCCGTTCTCCATTTTCTCGTCTTTAAAGGACCTTTGTGTTTTTTTCTACGTGGTTGTGGCACAAATCTGCACGATTCTTTGACCTTTGTACATTCTGCCTGGACGAGCCGCTGAAAATGTTCAAACGTCTGTTTTCTGTTCTTCACCTGAATTTTCTACAAAAAAAAAACAAAAGCTAAAAGTAGCTCGTCTTTGTAAATACACGTGTTGGAGAAGATATGACTAAACGAAACGATTAAAAAAAAGGTTTAATAAATATTGCTTTGTCGTTGTAACTCCTGTGTCTGACTTTTATTTTGTTTACCTGACTGTTAGCAAAATATCTCTTGACCCAAAGGATGGAGTTCAGTTACTCTTTCAGAAAATAAATATAAACAGTTTTAATCTCAGCTGTTAGCTAGCCTTTTCATACATGCAGCTACTTTCTTTGATCCATTGCTATCATTAGCTCGCTGCTAGCCTTATGCTACTTTTAGCTTTTAGCTAGTGTTGTTTATTTTAGCTGTAACAGCTCGGTTTCTTCAGCACAATTGAGTAAAACCAGCATTTTTACAAAACAGCAGGTGAGACGTTAACTGTTCAGAACTTTTTCAAACAACATTTGAAAGAATCTGAACTATCCCTTTAATAATATAAGTTATTATAATTCAGTTTTTTACTTGTTGGACCTGATGAAGACTCAGCCGTGGACCTGATGAAGACTCAGCCGT